TAGCTTGCACTTAACACATTCTTGCTTTTTGAGATCATATCATGCGTGAAGACTGCAAGAAAAAAATAGACATGAGCTCCAATTTTAATTCCTGGCTGGGATCCCTGGAAGGGAGTTCCAGAGAAGGGCAGCAATGTGCAGTGATTGTAGCAAGCCATCATTTAACCAAGTCCTGTGCCAGGCCCCTTGTAAACAATCAACACTGTGAACAGCACTATTACTAGCTCTGTTTTACAGAGAAGGAATCGGGGCCAGAGAGGTCAGGTAGCATGCCATAGTGTCTCAGCTGGAAGCAGTGAAGGTGGGGTTTGAATCTGGGTGGTGTCCCTAGGTGTGCAATTCCATGTCCCAGGAGCTAGGACTGACAGATCCTTCTCCAGCAAGCATACAGGTGTTACCAAAAATTTCTGTTGCATTTGAAAGGAAAATAATCTTTGGCAATTTATTGTTTCTTTATGTAGTACAGGGTATGGAACCCAGGGCTTTATATATACTGAGCAGCTACTCATAACAAGTATACCCAGTCCAGGAACTTTGAAAAGTATGGACAACTCTCTATCCCCAAGGAGTGAAACCTCATGAGAGGAAGCAAAGAGCACATCCTAATCCACTCCTACTAAGTGACTCTGAGCTCCTGAAGCAGGGCTAAGTGGGAGTCAAGTTTGCATCTGGCACTGAGGATGGAGTCATGAGAGAATGAGGAAACTGGGGAGAAGCTGGGGAGTTAGGAGAATGAAATACTGAATTAGAAGTTTCGAGTCTACCATGAGTACTGGCAGCATCCAGGAGGGAAGATGTTCTCTTGGCCCAGCCCTGGCTATGCAGCCCACACCTGCTTGTCAACTAGGAAGTGAACAAGGATGCTGGAAAGGGCTGATGGAAAGTGAGACTTCTTTGGGATTTAAGGTGGGGTAAATGGAGAGACATGCCTACAGGCTTCTTCCCTCAGAAGAGCCTGGGTTGGGCTGTTTATTTTTAGAGAGGCCTTGCTATGTTGCCCTGGCTGGCTCTGAGCTCTTACCTGTTGAATGCTTGAGACTGTAGCATGTGCCACTTCACCCGGCTGGGTCATGTTATTGATGTGATGGCTAGTATTTTCAACTTGACATGATCTGAAATCACCTGGGAGACAAGCCTCCAGGTATATCTGTGACAGATTATTGAGTCTCTCTGGGCATGTCTATGAGGAATTATGTTGATTAGGGTTATTATGGGTTTTAGACCCATCCTAAAAGTGGGCTTGAGTCCTGAACTGTATAAAAAGGAGCAAGTGAGCTGAGCCCAAGCATTTATCACTCTCTGCTTCCTGTCGATGTGATGTGACCAGCTGCTTCAGGCTCCCACTACCTTGGCATCCCCACCATGGCAGGCTGTGTCCTTGAACTGTGAGCCAAAATATACCCTTTCATCTTTGAGTTTCCTTTGTCGGGATACTTTTTAAAAAAAAAAAATCTATTATTTTTATTTATGTGTATGCATGTATTGCCTGCATGTAGGTAAGTGCACCCATGTCATGCAGTGCCCTCAGAGGACAGAAGAGGCTGTCGGATCCCCTGGAACTGGAGTTACGGACAGTTAGCTGCTGTACCTGATATCCTGGTGCCCAGAACAGGGCCAGGTATGGAGGCTGTGACCATTTCTCGTGTTGATAATTTGCTTTGCAGAGTGTTTAAAAGTTTAAGTGACAAAGGTTTAAGTGGGTGCTGGGATTAGAACTCAGGTCTTCTGCAAGAACAGTCAGTGTTCCTAACTGCTGAGCCATCTCTCCAGCCCCAGGATACCTTTTTTTTTTTTTAATCATTCAGTAATTTTATTGTTTGGATGTTTTCATTCAGAAGAAGAAAACATTGTTAAACTAGATGAGGTGATTATTTTTTAATATTTTGTTATTTAAAATTTTTTTCTAATTGAATTTTTGTGTATTTCATACAGAACATCTTATTCATCTTTATACTCCCTTCCCCACTGGAATTCATACATTTTGTCATCTGTGTTAAGGCCTATCATGTCAAGTCAGTATCCCCAGCTGTCTGTCCCTCAGTGTAAGTTCATCCACTGAGGTCCAGTCAGCCTATCTTGAGTCCCTCCCTTGAAGAAGATCAGCTCTTCCTCACCTAACAGTAGTTAGCTGCCAATAATTCTTCGACTAAGATTGGGGCCTGTTGTCCATTTCCACAGTTCTGTGCTGGGTTTTTGTCTTTTCAAGATACTTTTAATTTTCTTGATTGATTGATTTTTTATGCATATTGGTGTTTTGCCTGTGTGTATATAAGTACACCACATGTGTACAATGCCCAGTGAGGGTGTTGGATCCACTGGAACTGGAGTTAGATGGTTGTTAGCCACCATGTGGGTGCTGGGAACCAAACCAAGGCCCTCTGCAAGAGCAGCCAGTGCTCTTAACCACCGAACCATCTCTCCAACCCCTTATTTATTTATTTTTTTATTTATTTTGTGTGTATGCTTGTATTGTCTGCATGTAGGTAAGTGCACCCGTGTTGTGCAATGCCCATGGTCAGAAGAGGCTGTCGGATCCCTTGAGACTGGAGTTAAGGACAGTTGTTAGCTGCCATGTGGGTGCTGGGATTTGAACCTGGGTCTTCTGTAAGAACAGCCAGTGTTCTTAACTGCTGAGCCATCTCTCCAGCCCTTATTTCTTTATTTATTATGTGAGAGAGATGTGTTGTGTATGATGGGGAGAAGAGGAGGCACTTGTGTGCCATAGCACACATGTGGAGGTCAAAGCATAACATTTATGTGGGATCCAGGGATTGAATTCAGGTTCAGTCTTGTGTAGCAAGCACTTTACCCACTGGGCTATTTTGCCAGGCCACCTTGTCAGGGTATTTTATCATAGCAATAAACACAAACTAAAACAGAAACTGATAGAAAGATATAGGGACATTACCATGATAAATCTGACCATGTGGGAAGAATCTGACGATGGTTTGTGGGAAGAATGTAGAAAAGTTTTGAAGTTTGGGCTAAAAAAAAAGCCCTAGCATGGTAGACGCAGAACTTAATGAGCCATTCTGGTGAGAGCTTGGGAGACAAGAATGCCAAGAGAAACACAGACATTGGAGGTCTGGCTCGAGGCTCTAGAGAAGAATACGGGCTCTATCAGGAACTGGACTTCAGGCCATTCATGTGATATTTTGGCCCAGAGTCTGATTTCATTTTGCTTGTGTCCTGAGAACTTGAGTGAAGTTGAATTTAAAGATAATGAACCAGTTTGTTTGGCAGAGAAAATTTCAAGGAGAGGAAGGAATTCAGGCTGGTGCTGAGAAAGCAGTTAGAATTGTTGGAGATCGGCACCACTGAGGAGAAACCTACCCTGCATTGGGACAACAGCATCCGGAAAGGTGTCCTGAGGGCAAAACCTCACCCATCAGAGGCTACATCCAGAGCTAACAGCAGAGCTGGTAGTCACATCCAAGCTCTTTGCAGGCCATAGTGTTGAAGCAGCTGGATCAGGAACAGGACCTGCTGCCTTTGTAGTTGGTTGGGTGGTTGGGGCACAGAATCCAGAGGAGGGTTGGGTAAAGGCAGGGGCCTTTTGGTGGAGCAGGTTTGGCCATCTGGTGCTCCAGCCTTGGTGCCTCTTGCTCATCTTTGAGCACATGGCTCTTGGGGATTTTGCTGGATTATTCTGCTCTGACTGCCCACCCAGCTTCCTCTCTTACCATTCTGAGCTCCCCTAACACAATCAGAGGCCTCTGACCACACTAGCATATGAGCCCCTGCCATCACATCTGGTACTGTCCTCAGTTCTCCTTATTGAACTTCCCGCCCCTTTGTGTCTGGGTGAGGTCCCTCTTCCCTGCTAGCTCACTTGCCTGACAGTCTGGTGGAGGAAAGGCCATCTTGGCCTGCAGGTCTGAGCTTCCAGAAGTGGAGAGGCGTGACTTGCACCTGATGTCCTGGTGCCCAGCACAGGGCCAGGTATGGAGGCTATGACCGTTTCTTGTGTTGATGATTTGCTTTGCAGAGTGTTAAAAGGTTTAAGTGACAAACTGGAAGCAAGCCTTGCATATGGTAGGCAAGGGCTTTAACACTGAGCCACAATGCTATCCCTTAAGAGACTTGGGATTCCAATTTGTTATGTAACCTGGGGTCACTTTACCCCTGAGCACTCCAGTTTTCATATGTAAATGGGGAGAAAGAGATGTGGTGAAGATTCAATGGGATAGGCCCAGCCACCACAGGTGGGCACGGGGCAGGAAGCTTAATACACTGGTCCCATCTTTACCTTCACCCTCAGATCCCTGACTGTGTTTCCCTGCCTTCCCTTTATGGCAAGCACTAATTGTTGTCCAAGTGGTCCTGCATTTTGGTGAGGACTTGGTGGAAATGGTGCTGGGCCAGGGATCAAGCAAGCCCAAGTGCTGGCCCACCCTGATTTCTACAGCTTTGGAAAGGAAGCACCAACTCCCTCAAGTACCAGACCACAGAACATGTGCTCCAGGGTCTGGCTTTCTCAGTGGCCTTAGAACAAATTTGAACAGTGTATTGGAAAGCAGTAGGATTCTCAGCACTCAGATCTGTGTGACAAGAGGGAGTCAGGCCTGAGGGAAAAGGCAATTTGAGAGCAGTAGGAGGTGGGTTCAAGGCTGCTGCGATTATGGAGCCTGAAGTAATGAGATCTGTTCCTTCTGTTGCCCTGGCCTTGGCCGCCTCAGTGCCAACCCTTGATCTTTGTGCTCTCCTATCCCAAGAAGCCAGGAAGCCATGTGATGTTGGCAGAGTAGGGTGAGCCATGGAAGCCAAACCACATGTCTCTCCCCAGAACACTCTGGGCTCTCTTCATTGGTCCCACCCCACAGGTACACCCTGAGCCAAGCAGGACATAGACCCCAGGTACCCAGGCCTGTGCTTTTTCTGCCTCACCTATGACCTTCAGTTCCCAGAGTTAATATCTGGCCCCAAATGTAGCAGGAAAGGTGCCAGAACCCTCCCCCAACCCAGGGAAAGTTCAGAGTCACACACAGACTAGACTTTCTTCACTGGTTTTATGTATGTATAAGCAAGCCCAACCACTTAGGGCCCTCAATTCTCCATCTTTGGCATTGATCTATCAGCCAGCTTCTCTGCATGAGACTGCTCACTGCTTTCTGTACATGAATTAAATATATTCTCTGTCTTTCCTCTGAGTCACAGAACATTCACAGTCAGTGGGGGGGAAGGGGGAGGGCTGGGGAGAACCCAGGCTCCAGGGGTTGGGCTGGGCATGGGGCCTGTAGAGAAAGCCAGGGCTTGGCCTCCCCTCAGCCTTTGCCCTCTAAGTTCAGTCAAGTGTTGAGACCCCGGAATATGAGAGCATTCTGAAAAGGAGTGCCTTCTCCAGGGGATCCAGGCCCCAGGAGTTTCGGCTGTCAGGATTAAACCTGCTACATCTCACCTCTCTCCAGCTCAGGCTGCGATGCTGACACTCCCTTCCTCTCATGACCACCCTCTGTGGAGGCTAGTGTCAGGGTCAGGTAGACAGGGCCACAGGGCTGGAAAGGAGGTAAGGGATGGGAGAGGCTGTGCCAACCCCAAGGACCCAAGGCCGGCCTGGTACTAAGTGTCAAAGTGACCTTGCATATCTAGGTACCAGTCTCAGGACCCTGAGACAGGACCTACTTATCAGTCCTCAGGGGCGATATCACCCACAGGAGTGGCTCTTTGGGAAGAAAGGACAGGTAGGAGCAAGGTCAGGGCTCCGAGGGCAGTATATACTCTACCACCTGTCATTTTAAGGCAACTCTTTCCAGACTGGGAGGGGGTGGTGAAGGTGGCAGGAGTGCAGCTGGCAGTACCAGGCCACCTACAGATGCAGCTGGTCACTGGTAGCATGCTGGTGCTGCTCAGCCTCAGTCCAAGCCAGAGGGTACAAGGGGCCTCTGGTAAAGAGGGTGCGACAGCACAGTGGGGATAGTGACAAGACAGGCTATTAGTTTTTCTACTGTTCCAGGGATGTCTGCCCCTGTTGGGGAGATTGGCACACATATGGGCACCCAGAATTCCAGGAAGGTGAAATGTGTGTCTAAGGGGCAACAAAGGTATCTGTCAAGCTGATGAGCCAAGCAGACCCCCACATTCTCCTGTCCATGCTGGTACCTCAGCATTTCAGCTGGGAAAGGTCCCTCCTTGCCCCTTGCCTCCTCTCGGGGAAGCAGATCACATCCCCTCCCACAGAGGGTGAAAAGGGGTTATGTCCAGGTAAAGGCTGTTACAGAAGTGTGTGGGAAGCAGGGAGACAAAACTGCTGCTACCAACAGGCTGCCAGTGGTCCTCAGGGCTAGCCACTGGCTCTGATGGCTCTACAGGCCCCATACTTCCTGAACTTGTGTTCTGGGCACACAGTTCAGAAGACGCTCTGCCGCCGGCTCTTCCCTCGCCCTGGAGAACAGAGGGCAACAGAAAGGACTGAGGAAAAAGGCTCAAGATCAGAGGGATATTGACTGTTCACGTGCTCTGGTTCAATGAGCAAGGGCATACACTTGTGGTCTCATCTCTGTTGCTTGTGAGCTGCATGAAATTGAGACTAACCTTTAGGGGCCTCAGTTTCATTGACTATGGGGAACAGTAATAGCACCAATCCACAGGGTATTTTAAGGATTGAATGAGACAGTCAATACATGGGAAGCACTGTTGGGTTCCAGGCCATCAGCTGTGCTAGGGACAAAGTTCAGTTCTCCCAGGATGCAGATTGGCCAGGGAGTTCAAGGTCTTCAAAGAGAAAGCACCAGCGCTACTGCAAAAGGCAGGGTTCATCTGGGTGTGTGTAAGGGGGGTGGATGAATAGGGGACCTCCCATAAGGAAGGTGGGGTGTATTGACTCCAGCCCAAGGGCAAACTGTTGGGCCCACCTCTGTTCCCCAAAGGAGAGTTCCCACTGCAGAGGGGTGCTCTGCCTGGCTGCCTCTAGCAAGGAGTGCAGGGGAGCCATGTGGCCCTACCTGGATGTTGGAAGACTAGACCACGCCCTACCTGGATGTTGGAAGACTAGACCACGGTAGCCTGGGTCCTTTTGGAGCTGGATCTCCTTCAAGGAGAAGATGGAGGCAGCTGGGTGAGAGAAGAGGGGTAAGGCCTAGGTGGAGCCACTCTACTCCTGAACCTTCTATCCCCAACTCCACTAAATTCACAGAGCTGGGACACCCTCCAGTCAAGACTGGTCCAGAAAGACTAACAACTCAGATGGAGTTAGTCTTTCTAACTCTAGCTCTAAAAGAGAACTGTGACATGGAAGACTTGTGCCCAAGATCACTGGGCTGGACCCAAGGTTCTGGTCTCTGTTTCAGCCCTTGCCCACTCCCCCTGCCCTCCTTCCCTGGTTCTGGGGTGGCCTTGCTCCCTCAGACACTTACTGTCATGGAGCTGGTGCACACGCTCCCCCAGAGACTGGAAGTAGGGGTGACTGAGGGCCGCCTCTGCAGACATGCGACTCTTGGATTCGTACTGAAAGGCACAGGGTGAGCTATTTGGCTCTGTTGGAGACTCCTCTAGGAAGTGAGATTCCTATGCTGTTAGATGACCAGGTTGGGAGAAGTCCCACCTGACCCAACCCAGGCAGTCTCGCACCTGAGGCCATCAGGGTTCAGACACTTCAGGGGAGTGACTGCCTCTTGGGATGTGTACACCATGGGAAGGCCACAGTAGTATCAATAACTGCCCTGGATCCTGAGCTTACTTCCAAGCAAGCAGGCACTGCGCAGTCCCCATAATCTTGGTGTATTCCCACCATCTTTTAAAGGATGAATTGATATCCACCATGCAGTTAAGGAAACTGAGCTATACGTCCTCAGGAAATGCCCAATGCCACCTGACCAGTGAGTGGGTCTGAACAAGGCCTTAGGTGCCAAGCACACTCAAAGGCTGAGTGCGGACACCAGTGGTCCTCTTGGGCCTTGGGGTGGCAGGCAGTGTTGGGATTAAGAGTCTGGCTTTCTTTGGTTGTCTCTGCCTGGGCAGGCTGGGAAGAAACTTACCAAGAGGAGGCTGGTCAGGAGGTTGATGCCTTCAGTATCCAACCTGCAAGGAGGAGGCGCTGGCACAGGCGCGGCCAAGGCAGGCTGCGGACCGGGACCCGGGCCTTAGGGAGGGAGATCGCAGAAGGGGACGAGGGGCGGGGCGAGGGGGCTACCTGGGGGCGTGGCTGAGCAGTGGCTGCGGCAGGTACAGGGGGAAGTTATAGGCTCGAAACTCAGAAAGGGCGGTCACACCGGGCCATGTCTCTTCTGTAGGAGTCCCTGGAGACAGGAGACGGGTTGGAGAGCATGGGTGAAGGGCCTGATATGGAAAGCGTAGAGGCCCAAGAGTAGCCAAGGTTCTTGGGTCCCCACCCTGCCCAGTCCCTCGGTGCTCCTGGGCTGGAAAGAGTTCTGCTGCCCCCTAGCGACAAGAAGGGTGCCACGAAAACTGACCGAGGAGGCGAAAGATGAGGTGCAGCTCCTCCTTGACCGTGGAACCTGGGAAGAGGGGCCTCCCGGTGGCCATCTCATAGTGGATACAGCCCACGCCCCTGCGAAAGCCGGGGAGGGTGAGGTCAGGAAGGGCAGCCACCTTTCCTAAGACTGCTCAAAGAAATGCTAATACAAGCCTGAGGGAATCACAGCTGGTGCTTGGGGAGGCCCAGACAGTAGAGGCTCTTAGAGCTAACCAGACTCCCATGACAGCTCCTCTCTGTCAGGTACCTGGGTCTCTTTAACTCTGCTGGACTGGAAGCACGATGTATACTCTCACTCCTAGGGAGCCTTGGGGCTCAGGCAGAAACCTGTGCTGGCTTTAAATTTGAGCAGGTTTTCATTTTACACCAAATCATGCATTTGTCAATTTTAAAAAATTATTTTATGTATATAAGTGTTTTGCCTGCATGTATCTAAGTGCTCCAGTGTTGTGCAATGCTCACAGAGCCAGAAGAGGGTGTTGGGTCCCCTGGAACTGGAGTTACAGGTGGTAGATAGCCACCATGTAGGTGCTGGGAACCAAACCTGGGGTGCTCTGCAGGAGTAGCCAGTGTTAACTGCTGAGCCATCTCTCCAGCCTCCATTTGCCAATTTTGAAAAGTAAAATAGTATATCCCTCCCAGAATACTCCCTAGGATTCATTCTTGAGGGGGTGGGGAAGACTCACCTACTTACTATAGAGGCCTCTTGCATCCTTAGATAATTCCCACCCCACCCCTAGGTACAGAAGTATAGCAGTAGAGGGTTCATAAACTGGGAGACTCTGATCTATTTCAGACTCATTTGTTAAAAGTAGGGATCTGTGGAACTGTGAATAAGGTCAGCTGGCTCTTCCTGGACAGTCTAGGGGTATTGACAGCCTCTCTTGCTCCCCTGGGCTGCTCACCACATGTCAATGGGGGTGGAGTACTCTGTAGATCCCAGCAGCACATCTGGGGGCCTGTACCAGAGGGTCACCACCTCATTGGAATAGGTCTTTGTGGGCACTGACTTGGCCCGAGCCAGGCCTAGAAACAGACACATCGCTGAACATCTCATCAAGGGTGTTGCAGGGTCAGGCACTCAGCCATTCCCTCCTGGCAAGGCTGTGCAGTGGGGTGGTCAGGCCCACCTGCCACCCTGGCCCTGGCATCAGCCTCACCAAAATCAGCCAGCTTTAGCTCGCCCCTCTCATTGATGAGCAGGTTCTGGGGTTTCAGGTCCCGGTGCAGGATCTTGCGGCGGTGGCAGTAGGCCAGGCCCCGGAGCAGCTGGAACATGAAGATCTGAGGAGAAAGGAGAAGCATGGGAACTAGGTCCTGGGGGAAAGACCCTACACCTCAGCCTCGGGCTGGGCAAGAATGGAGGATCAGCACAAGGAAGGCTCCCTGGTTCTGTCCACCCTGAAGCCTACCTGGGCCCTGTGCACACCAGAGTCTCCCATATGAGGGAGGCAGTGAGGGTAAGGAGGCTGGAGCAATCTCCAGATGTGAGGTGGGAGAGCACAGTGGGTAGGGGTCCTATGGCTGGGGCTGTATGCACTTGGTTTTTAAACACCAGAATGGGTCATCACCCCTCCTCGATTCTCAGAGGCTTCTCTTCACTCTGGCAGGTAACACATGCTTAATGCTCAGGGTTAGAGAGGGGTTTGTATCAGCAGCATAGGTGGAGGGTAAGTTTGTATTCTTGGGCTAAGATGCTCAGCCTCAACTGGCTGAGTGGAGTGGCTTTTCCCTCCTTCCTGCATTTGAAGCTCTGAGCAACCTCAGCAGCTGGGGCCCTGGGAGCAAGAGGCGTGTCCCACACTGGGCTTTAGGACAGATGGCTGTCAGGATAAGTCAGGTCTCTACTCTGGAGGTCCTCACCTTGACATTATGCATGCTCATGAGGCTTCCACAGTGGTCCAGATACTGCTTCAGATCACTGTCCTGGAACAGACAGACTGGCTCAATCCTGCTCTGCCATGTTCCCTGCCTGGTTAGTGGTCCAGACCCACTGACAGGAAGCCCCTCTCCAGGCTGGTTCCAAGCCTGCTAGTGGGACAGACCCCTGACCCCAAGCCCTTGCCCAGTTCTGCATGGGAGCATCTGAGAGCTTAATGGGCAAGCCAAGGCTTGGATACCCCTACCCTCCTCCTACTTCCTCACCGCCACTCTTCCCTACCCTACCTCACCCACCACAGAGGGAGAGACCACCAGCCCAGCTCACCAAGTACTCAAACACCAAGGTGAGGGACCGATCTGTGTGGATGAGGTCATGCAGGGTCACAATATTGGCGTGTTTCAGGTCCTTCAGCAGAGACACTAGGGAGACAGGCCCACCTGGGTCCTCAGGCCTACCAGTATCTCCCATTATCCCTTCCTGGGGTCAGCAATGGTCCTACACCCAGGCTTCCACCAGGTGCAGGTTGCTGAGCCCCTCCTCCCAGAGACCCCAGGGTGTGTGAAGCCCGGAACACTGTACCCTCTCGAATGGCAGTGCAAGGTGCCCCCTCCTCATGCTCCAGCCGGATCTCCTTCAGGGCCACTAGGTTCTCTGTTAGCTTGCTACGCCCCTTGAAGACAGTAGCATAGGTACCCTATGACAGAGCAACCCTGGTCAGCTCCAGGAGCACCCTGTTCCTGCTCTGCTTCCAGTCCTCCCCCTCAGGCTCCTGTTCTCCTGATCCTCCCCCTTGGGTTGGGATCCAAAGTAGGTAAGTGCCCTGCTCCCTTTTCCCTCTGCTGAAATTCTCTTTTCCCCAAATCCACTTCCTCTGTGAAGTACCCTTACCAGCTTACTGGTCAGAATGGACTGCCCCTTCCTCTATCCCCAGCATCCTGAGCGCTCCTCTACAGCACAGCCTTGTTTTTAGATCTTGCTGATGTGACTCCTTGAGGGACAGGGCCTTCTTCCTTTCTAAAAACGTGTACCCACCCAAGCACCAAGAAGCCTGACACAGTGATACAGGATCGGTTTAGAAACACTGCCCTTTTTGTGTATCAGGCACTAATAACTGTACACAGCTTACTCAAGTAACCCACAGTACTCACAAGAGCCCTAGGGTAGAATAGTTACTTTCATCATTTGACTGAAGCACAGAGAGAGGCCATGGAATGTGCTAAGGTCGCAGAGCTAGTAAATGGTGGGGTTGGAGTCAAACCTAGGCCATAAGTACTTAAAGGAGAAAAAAGACTAGATTCTACCCAGAGACCTCTGTCCTCAAGTCATGTCATTCAGGATCAGGGGCCATTATAAGAGCTGCTGAAGGGTGGGGATCAGGAGCTGGGAAGGGGCCAGTCTTACCTCCCCCAGTTTGTCCAGTTTCACATATGTTTCCAGTTTCCCGAAGCCAATATCTGACTAGGAAGAAGACACAGGACACTGTGAGATTTAAAGCCCCAGCGCATACCTACTCCACAGCTCCCCTTACCCCAAGAAGGGAAGTGAGACCCCCATTATGCAGAGGGGAACTGAGGTTAGCTACTGTGAGGACAGCCACAAATCCTTCCTTTCCTCCTTTCCCTCCTTCCTGTGAGAGTGGAGGGACCCCGGAAGTAGGAGCTCCTTGCTCCATGGATCTGGGATGTGAGCCTGGGCTGCAATGCAATAATACCTCTGTCTTGCTCAGGCTACTGGCTCCTCCGTGGCAGGCCTGTCTTCCTCCATTATTCAATTTTCCACTTCAGACCCCACCTCCCTAGTCTCTCATCAGTTCACTTCTTCTAGCTCAAGACAGGACAATAAGCTAGATCCCTGGGCCCCCACCCGCCCAACAGAGAGGCTGAATGTGCAGGTGTCTATAGTGGGGCCCAGAAACCCAGAAGGCAGCTAGAACCTCAAAGTGCATGCTGAGTGCTCTGTTGGTCTTTTTGTTTCTTTGTTGGGTTTTTTTTTTTTTTTTTTTTTTGGGTTTTTTTTTTTTTTTGGGTTTTTTTTTTTTTTTTTTTTTGAGACAGGGTCTCAAAGTGTAGCCTTGGCTGGCTTGAAACTCACTATATAGCCTAGATTGGCTTTGCATTATTGTCAATCTGGCTGTATTAGTCTCTAAAGAGGGCTGGGAATACAGGCATGAGTAACAACACTGGTCTACTGGCTTTAACCTGGGAGAGTGGTGTTCAGAGGGACTGAGAGCTTAGCTCCACACCCAGGTGGATCTTAGGGAACGGTCGCCATTTATTGGAATCCACTTGGCCAGCAGGTGGCACCAGAGGCACAGGAATTTTTCTGGAAACCACTACAGGCCTCAGCCTGGACAAGCAAAGCCAGTGGTACTGACTCTGCTGGTGTCCCACCCTCACTGACTTCAAGCTTCCTGGGACTCACCAAGGAGGCACGGCGGGACATGCGGTTGAGTGGCCTGCACAGCCCTGGGCTCTCCAGCTGGATCTTCTGCAGGAATTCTGGGGGTAGGCGGATATCCATAGGCAGAGACAACCTCTTATTGAGATCCTGAGGCAGCAGATGGGATGGGAACACCATGTTGGCTTCAGAAGGCCCTTGCCACTCACTCTGGGCCTATCTGTTCATACAGAGAACGGCCAAGCCACAGGCTGTGACCGCGGGCTCACAGCTACATGAAAGGTATGTGAAGTCTCAGAAATTACTGGGTGACCTAGGGAGATTCCCTCCCCTCTGAGCCATAGCAGAACTGACTAGAACATAAATCTCATGCCCTTACAGACAATATAATTTTGTAAACACATTTTTCCTACATTTGGCACAGGTATGTGGGTTAAAAGAACAACACTCACATTGTCTAACCTTTGCAATGTTCCAGGAATGTTCTAAGCACTTGGCATACGCTCTCATTTAGTCCCCACGATAACTTGCTCCAAATCACAGGGCTAATTAATAGTAGAGCTGGGATTTGGACCCTCAGTGACTGACTCTATGGGAACCACCTGCTCTGGGTGTGTTCTGACCTGCAGAGCTGGGAAGGGACACCCTCACCTCCATAGAGAAGCGGCGTTGGCTCTGCTGTCGTTGATACTGCAAACCAGGGGACAGCTGACCAGGTTCATCCCCACCATCTGTTGGGGAGAGCATGCCAGGTTACAGGACAGAGTGGTAGGTCGAGGCCAGACAGACATCAGCCCCTACCTCCCACTCCACAATCTGCTGACAGCCCAGAGCACCCCACCACCCTCTCCCTAAAGCACTAGGTTCACAGACAGTGGGAAAGCACTGGGTGGCCTGACCCGCACCCTCATTCCTCTGGGTGTGGAGCTGGTTGAACTGCTCGGTGAACTCAGCCAAGGATTCCTCAATGGTCTCTGGGCGGGGCACTGACAGGGAGAACCTGCGCTTGAAGTTCTTCATCTTATTCATGATCAGCTGGGTCCAGTGGTGGGTTCTGGGACAGAGGGAAGACAAGGGGATGTAGTCACTCTACACCCATGGGAACTCAGCTGTGATCTTCCCAACAGGCTCTGCACATGGCACACTTGGGTCATCCTGACCAGAGTCCCAACTCCATGACAGCAGGATCTAAATCTGTCCTTCCTCCAGTGACTCTGAGTCAGACCCCATCCTATGAGTAGTCCCTCCCCTGGCAGTCACAGCACCAATTGGTAATTGCTAAAGGTTTGCAAGAGGCCCCTCCAGATGTTCAGCCTTCAGTTGCCGAGGGTCTGGAGATTTCTGGGGCAGTGTATCAGAACTGGATGGGCCTCAGGCCAGCAGCTTTTCCTTAAAGTGTCAGGAGCCTTCCTGGTTGATGCCCACCAGCCTGTCATCAGCAGGCTCTAAACTTTATGACACCTGATACTGACATGGCGATGTCCCCATAGCTTGGCCTGGATCCCCAGAAACCAGGAAAAGATAGGAAGGAGATAGAGAGGGCAAGAACATGGGAGCCTGCCTAGGACCAACTCTGCTCCAACCACAGTGTGGAAGTCAGGAGCAGCGTGGGAAACTTAGACCTGGGAAGGAAGCCTGGGCTGCTGGTCCCTCCCACACCACAGTCCTATGAGCAGACTGAGGACACTGGGCATAGCTGCCTAGCAGCTTGTGCCCTCTACATGCTGGTCTCCTGATGACACTTGTCTGCCTGCTTCTTCTCACAGGCTTTGATGATGCAGGGCCCAGCCATTCTACCCTGCCTCCATGGCTTCCTAAGTGCCAAGTGCTGCCATACCCCCATCCCACTGGGCTCCATACTGCCTTAGCTACAATGGAGCTGCCCAGACCAGAGGCCACACAACTCCTGTGGCTCCCCACCCTGGCTAGGAAGGCACCAGAGACAACCTTGTGATGGGAGGGGCCACCTGCACTCTTTCTCAGGCCTACCCATAACCCACTTCTGGAGGATGCTCAGGCCTACCACTGGCCATCATGCAGTTGCCAAGGCAACCAGGCCCCTCCTGAATCCTCCTGGTTTACAGGATTATGGGTCAGTAACGTGTTTGCTTTGCTTAGTGATCACACCCTCTGTCCTCAGCCAGCCTGGAAAGGGTCCCCTTGCTAGCACAGCACTCCTGGCAACCTCCAAATGCAGCTGAGCTAGGCCCCAAGCTCTCTTGGGCCAGGGTTGTGTGCCTTTACAAGCAGAAGGCTCAGGTCTGCACTGCCAGCTGAGCCTACCTCTACTGGGGAGCCTGAAGTCCAATTCAATGCGGCATGGCACTCCAAGGGCAAGCATCTCCTTTGTGGGGCATGGAGCTGGGCACTGGAGTTACAGTGACTAAACGTGATCCCTGTTTCCAAGGAACTCAGGCTGATGGTGGCACACTGCTGAGGACCCCTGAGAGCCCTTTGCAGTTTCCTTGCCTTGCCCCCTGGGTCCACCCTGGATTCCCACTCATCTCATTTCTGCCAGCCAGCCTCAGCTACTCCCTGTGTGGTCCTACAGGCCAGCCTTCTGTGGGACTCTCAGACAGAACACTCCCAGAGGATAGCCACCTGCCACATGTCCTTGTGTGTAGAAAACAGCTAACAGAACCCACAGAATTTTCGTGATGGTAACAGGACAGCATGGGCTCCCAAAACAAGAAGAGTCAGGTATACCCTGCCTGGTGACTCATTTCCTAGCAAGACAGGAGATCAGAAATCTCTGTATGTACACATCCATTGCTGTGCAGGCTGGCTGAATACTGGCACAACCAAGGAACACCAGAAAACACTCAAACCGCAGGTTCTAGAACTGGGGCCTAGAAAAATGCTTGAGACTGAACCCAGGGTCTTACATATACTAGGTAAGGAAACTATCTTTCCCTCCTCCAAGTTTTATTTTCTTATTAGTGTGTGTGTGTGTATGTGTGTGTGTGTGTGTGTGTGTGTGTGTG